GAGGTGGTAAGAGGTAAGGAAGAAATCAAAAGAAGTGGGAAAAAGCAACACCAGCAGCCAACAAATGGCACTCAGGGAGTCGGCCAGTGAGGGCAGGTGGAATCCAAGCAGCTAAGAGACTGTGACCATGGGAAACATAGGAGGCCGAATGGGGGTGAAGAAGGGTGGGAATGGGAAAGCATATATGGCTGTTTACTGGTTGTTTTGTCTCCTGCTGGAAGCTCTGTGAAGCTGCTTTCTCGTATACCCTATTTGCTGGTCTCTGAGAGGAGCCCAAGATGGCAGATCCATGCTGCCTTAAATGATAGGGGACCTCTGCATGTATGTCTCCTTGCTCTCTGTCCATTTCTTATTCCATTTGGTGCTTGGCTGAGTTATTTATCTCTTCATTTGATGTTTAGGATTTCAGGATTGCTGTTTTCTCTGTTTGGCTTAGTTTTCCGGATCTTTGCTGTGGAGGGACGGCGTGGTGCTTCTGCCTAGGGCGCCATGTTGCCGGAAGTCCCACTATGGCATATTTTGAAAACTAAGAAACTAACATTGATACAACTCCATACTCCAGACTTTATTTAGTTTTCATTAGTTTTTCCACTAATGCCCTTTTTCTGTTCCAGTATCCAAACCAGAGTACCATGTTGCATTTAATCCTTATGACTTATGAAATGAAGAGTTCAATATTCTATTTTGTAAGCTTATGTAGACATGAAGGTTATTGGGAAAATGGAAGTCTAATAAGGAATTCATCCTGAGGGAGCCAAATGTGTCAGCCATCCTCTGCATTACGTTTGACAGGTACTCAGGAAGTACAAAAAGGCTATCCTGCATCTTGGTAAATGTCACAAACCAAAACGAGAGGTAGTCAATAAAGCTGAGCCCCATATTATAGGCACTGGGTATTGAGAGTCAAAGATGTAGACAAAATGGCTTACCCTGCAGGAAATCTGCAGGCTAATTGTTGAGGGAATTAGGGACACAGGCTAGGATTTGAACTGACTGAAACACTAACTTATAATTTATAAGTCTGACTTTTTCTTTCATTAAATATTTACTGAGGGCCTACTATACACCAAGGAGCCCTGGTGTCTCAGTGGTTAAGAGCTGGCTGCTAACCAAAAAGGTTGGCAGTTCAAATTCACCAGCTGCTCCTTGGAAACCCTATGGGGCATTTCTACTCTGTCCTATAGTGTCGCTATGAGTCGGACTCAATCTGACAGCAATGGATTTGTTTTTTTTGGACTATATACCAAAGGTCCCTGGGTGGCACAAACAATTTGCAATTGGCCATGAATCAAAAGTTCGGTGGTTCCAACCCATCCAGTGGCACTGTGGAAGAAAGGCCTGGTGATTTACTTCTGTGAAGGTTAAACCAAAAACCATATCAGTCACTGTTGAGTCAATTTTGACTACTAGCAAAGCCATGCATTGCAGAGTAGAACTGGGTTTTCAAGACTATGACCTTTCAGAAGCAGATTGCAAGGGCTTTTTTCCGAGGCACCTGTGGGTGTGTTTAAACAGCCAGCCTTTTGGTTAAAAGTTGAGTGCTTAACAGTTTGTGCCACCCAGAGACTTCTCCATAAAGATTATACTAAAGAAAATCCTGTGGAGCTCAGTTCCACTCTGTAACACATGGGGTCACCATGAGTCAAAGGTAGTGGGTTTTTTGTTTTGCTTGTTTACTATATACCAAAACACTAGGGATACAGTGGTGAATGAGACAAAGTCCCTACCTTCACGAAGCTTACATTTGATGTGAAAGACAAATGTTAAACAAGTATAAACCAGGTGATGGCAAGTGCGCTGAAGGAAGCATAAAATAGGTTTAGAGTGTAGTCGAGGGTGAGGGGTGCTGGTTGAGAGGTTGTGGTCTGGGTAGGCCTTTCTGAGCAGGTAGGTGCATGTGTAATGAATACTCAGAGCCATGGATCAGGAGGGCCTGCTCTGCACTATACAGAGCCTTGCTCTTAATTGTAGTCAGGTTGTGGAAAACCTTGATTTCCTGCCCAACATATCCAGCTTCATGTTGACCTTAATGCTAACGTAGCTTGGTGGGACAGTTTTCCTGCCTCCTCTTCTCAGTCTAGTGGCTTGTTTTTGGTGAATTCATAAATTCAAATAGTCAGCTCTAATAAGAGCTGCCATTTTAAAATGTCTTCCGGGAGTATTTGAAGCCCAGGAAAAAACCAACAAAAGGAGCAGCCTTTCTCTTAATTCAGACTCCATTTAGAGCTGGCTGGCCCCAAATTGGCCTCATCAAATCCCAGATTCACTAAAAACCTTTACTGACTGCCTATGATGTGGCAGATGTTTTCACTTACACTCTTTTAGGCAGCACAGTGACACCCTCCAACAACTTCTGAGGTGGATATCATTATCTCCCTCTGCCAGATGAGGAACCAGATGCCCAAAGACACAGAGCTAAGACTCACAGAAACAAGGTGTGAGTGAATTCAGGCTCCCTGGTTGCAAGAACAGAGTTCTTTCCACCACTCTAAAGCTTTGCTTCACTAGAAAATTCCAGCTCCGTCTTGTTCCACACAGTCATTGGTGCCCCAGACTGAGTCAGACAGCCATCTGTCAGAAGGGGATTTGGAAAATTAAATCCACTCACCAGAGATAGTGGGGGTGGATGAGGAGGGCTCAGTAAAGGTCTAAGCAACTGGGCAGGCCTGGCTGCCCACCTACAGCCACCTGCGTGACCCCCTCTTCCCACCCCTCCCATGGTAGTTACCACGGTGGCCCCACCCCTGCAGGGATCTTACCAACCCCCACCCTATCCCAGGGTGAAGAGCCACCCTAGACCAGCACTGCAGCCTGTTCTGCTGATGGAGAATCAGCTGTGGTTCAGAGCTCACATAGCAGAGGCAGCTGGCTCCCAAGGAGCACAGATGCTTTGGAGCTAAGACTTGATGGATCCAAATACCGGCTGTACACGTTCTGGCTGAGAAAATATCCAATCACTTTGTGGCTGAAGTTTGTCCACTTATAATTGACTTCTAGATTTGTTCTGAGCATTATCTGAGCTAATGAATGTAAAGCACTTAGCTCAGGGTGAGCACTCCACAAATGGTCAGTTTTTATTTCTTGGAGGCCTCCTGTCTTGCCTGGATCCCTCCATCCCTAGTGTCTTTTTCTTTGGACTTATCATTGCTCTGCCTGCTAACAGAGCGACCCCCTAGATTTTATACCTTACCATGACCCATTCCCCCAATCCACAAAGTGCCTGCTGGAACTCCACTAGAGCCTTGTTCACAGATACCATGTGCAGCCTCCCCCAGGGCCTGCCTCCCCCAGGGCCTGCCTCCCCCAGGGCCTGCCTCGTCCAGGGCCTGCCTCGTCCAGGGCCTGCCTCGTCCAGGGCCTGCCTCGTCCAGGGCCTGCCTCTACACTCTCCCCACAACCCCACCCAGGGGCCTGGCTCTACCCAGGTGCTGTGAATAGCCAGGTCCTGCCTGCCCTGTCTAGTCCCTCGATGGTGCAAACATTTAACACTCAATTGCTATCTGATAGGTTGCAGGTTTGAATCCACCCAGAAACACCTCAGAAGAAATGACTTGTGATCTACTTCCAAAAAATCAGCCACTGAAAACCCTATGGAGCACAGTTCTAGTCTGACATACTTGGGGTTGCCATGAGTCAGAGCTGACTCAACGGCAACTGGTGGTTTGGCATGACCACTGGAAGGGCAAGACAGCTCTCAATCAGCTAACATGATCTCCCCCCGCCACCTCCCACTGTCAGAGCAGATTAATGAAGAGTCTCAAATGTAAGGCCCTATAGCCTGGCAGTCAGTAGCTGCTGGGATGGGCTCCTGACACAGCACTGGGGCTGGGACCTGGCTGGGACAGTCACTTCCTAACTTTGTGTGGTTGACCAGGGCTGAGCTCAGCTAGATGAGGGCAGTGCCTCACTCTAAAAGCCTGTAGTATGCTATTTTACAGCACTGGAACCCATTTTAAATCCAGAGATAAAGACCACAGTCTTCACAATTGAGAGAGCATATTTAATACAGGGAAGCAGAGAATTACTTAATTTCAGATTTCTTTGCTTAATTTTCTTTGCCCCCTCTCTCCCATTTCCTTGCTCTAAATCAATATTTCTCAAACTCTTTGTGGTGTGGGGCCAGTTGTTTATTTTTCTCAAAGTTTTGCAGACCAACACTTTTATAAAACAATAAAAGTAAGTTCTACAAAACTAAAATGCCATTTGGATATTGTTATGGATTGAATTGTATTCCCCAAAAAAACATGTGTTGGAATCCTAATCCCTATACATGTGGATGTAATCCTGTTTGGGAATAGGGTTTTCCTTGTTATTTTAATGAAGCCATACCAATGCACGACGTGTCCTAAACCTAATCATTTCTGAGTTATAGAAAGAGCAGACGTGACACTGAAGAGAGCACAAAGAGGGAGTAGGGGATAGATGCCCTGTGAAGGTCACCAAGGAACCAGGGAGCACCGGGGCTACGAAGCTGGAGAGCCAAGGAATTTCCCCCAGAGCCATCAGAAAGAGAGCCTTCCCCTAGAGCTGGTGCCCTGAATTCTGACTTCTAGTTTCCTGAACTGTGGGAAAATACATTTCTATTCTTTAAAGCCACTACCTGTGGCATTTCTGTTATGACAGCACTAGATAACAAAGATAGATGTCATTTCTAAATTGCTATAAATGTTTTTAAACACTTACAAGTTTTGTACTTATTGCAGGATGATGAACATTTTACAGACCCACCCCAGCCCCTGGACCAAACTTACAGCAGGGCTGCTTCTAGAAGTAACAAAGCACAAAGGCACCCTTCTGCCATGGACTCCCCATCCCAGGCTTTTCCCTATAGCAAAGCCCACTCGCAGCAGCCCTGCCCCACCAAAGCATGCATGGTAACTTGGTAAGGCTCCTGGTAGGACTTGCCCAGATTTTAGACACTATTTCCCAAAGGTCGAGCAAACCACAGGGGTGAGCTGTACAGAGGCATCTCCACCCAAGCCCAGAGGGCTACCCCTTACCATTCCATTCCAGCCCTGTTGATCTCTTCCCACCAGCACTCGGAAGGCTCCCCAAGGCTCTGGGTCGTGGGCATGCAGGCATAGTTCCACTGTCTGTCAGAACCTTCCTTCTTGCTGAAAATGCTCCTCACGGCCACCACTACCTGCCCATGGGGACACTGGTAGCTGAAGCCCTGCCGATTCAGATTCACCCATCCATCATCGCTGTAATCGTGGTACTGCTGGTAGGGGTACCCGTAGTCGCCATACTGGCCCCAAGCCACAGTAACTAGTGGCAGAAGCACCCACAGAAGAGTGAGGTCCATTCTGCCTGGCTTCTGGCAAGATATGTCAGCCTGGTTTGCCGGGCTGGCTGTTTTGTACGGCTGCCCCTGACATGTGGCTTCCAGATGTGGGTAAGCAGGCTCCAACTGCAGAGTGTCATCTCTTAAGCAAAACTTTTCAGAGCAGGGATGTTTGCCACAAGTACACACGGCTTGTTTTAAGGTGGACTTTTAGGAACATGCAGAGAACATGCAAATTCAAGAAACATCCCCGGTGGAAGAGCACTTTCGCAGATAGGATATAAAAGCAAACTGTTTTCACACGCTTAGAAACCTTCACCTGGGAAAAGGGGTCTGCAGCATATATGCCCCTCACCTCTCAGCACCCCACCCCACATTGTCGCCCACTAGCAAACCCCTCTATTTGTTCTCCAAATCACCCTGCTAGGACCACACGAATACCCCAAGAGTGAAATCAAAACACCAAAATAATAGAATGAGGAATAGAGCCATCTGGATTTCTGCTGGGGTGGATGTCGTGTTTCCTCTATGTTCTCAGCCCGACATCTTGTAACGCTGAAGTGTAAGCATGGGTGCACCAGTTTGCAGGGCTGCTCTGAGAACCCTTTAGTTGCATCATGGAAGTCACGTGGGCCCATGGGGAGACAAGCTGGGCATTATCCATTTGTAAGTATCCTTCCAGCTCCTGAAAATGGACCCAGGCAAGCCTAGAAATTGTGCTGTACACTCCACTAGGCAATGGGGTTTAATCAAATAACTATAATTTTTACACTTTGGTGTTTTTTTCTTTCTTGTTGAATTTTCATTTTATTGAGGTGTAATCTACATGTAATAAAATTTATTCCTTTTAAATGTTTAGCATACAGTCGTGTAACCAGCACCACAATCACATCAACCCAAAAAATCCCATCATGCCGTTTTACAGCCAACCTTTCACTCCACACCCAGCCCCAGGCAACCATTAATCTACTTTCTGTTTTGCAGTTTCCAGAATGCCAGGTAAATGGAATCATACAGTATGTAGTCTTTATGTTTGTCTTTCATTTAGCATAACATTTTCGAGATTCATCCATGTTATTGTGTGTATCAGTGATGCATTACTTTTTATTGCTGAGTAGTATCCCATGGTATAGATACACCACAGTTTGTTTATCCACTCACTAGCTGAAGGACATTTGGGTTGTTTCCGTTTTTGGTAATTATGAATAAAGCTGCTATAAACATCGGTTCACAGGCTTTTGTGTGAACACATCTTTATTTCATTTGGGAAAACACCTACAGGTGGGATTACTGGATTGCCTGGTAAGTGTATCTTTAACTTTATAAGAAACTACCAATCTGATTTCCAAAGTGGCTGTACCATTCTGCATCTCTACCAGAAAATTGCTTTTTTTTTTTTTTTTAAAAAAAAAAAAAGCCATTCTAATAGATATGTAGTGGTATTTCAATGTGGTTTTGATCTGAATTTCCTTAATGACTAATGATGTTAAACATCTTTTCATGTGCTTATTTTTCCATCCATACGTCTTCTTTGTCGATGTGACTTGTTCGAAGTTTTTGAACCCGTTGGGAGTCTATAAAGTACATAGTATTTCCATTTTTCATCAGGGTTGCCCTTAAGGAAGCTTCTTAAGATTGTTATTGTAGACCAATTATATCAGATTGTAGACCATTATATGAAGTTTATTAAAATGCAGACTCCTGGGCTCCATCCCAGATCTGCTAAATCATAACTTCAGGGGGTGTGCCAAGAAATCTACACTAAAAAAAAAAACAAAAAACAAAAAACAAGTTTTCCAGGTGATTTTTATTCACACCTAAATTTAACAACCACTTTCCTAGAGGAATGTGGGTGTAAGGAAAAAGCACACTATAAATCCTACCCCTGCCCATGCTATATCAGATTAGACTAGATTAAACATCAAGGAAACTGTGAAGGAGAAAGTCACACATGGGGATAAAATAATCATGTGTATGTGTGTGTGTGTAGTGTGGGGTGTGTGTGTGTATTTTGAGGGTGGTATGTGTTTTTGTGTGGGGTGTGTGTGTACATATTGAGGGTAGTATATGTTTCTGTGTGGGTAGGTGTATGTATTTTGAAGGTGCAATTTGCTCTGATAATAGTGGTTACTGAAGATGAGAGGCCCTGTGTCAAACAGATATCTGAGTCTCAATTTTGTTTTTAGCACCATCTTTTCCCACCAAGTCTATCTCTAAGTAACTTCCCAGTACTGGCAACCACAGCCCTCCTAGCTTAGGGTTACCATTCAGATCTGTAGTTACCTATGGGGTTTTGTAAAACACCCAGTGCTTGAACCTCACCCCTGCCCAATCATATTAGAATCTTCTGGGTGAGATCCAGTCAATAGTATCCTCTGAAACCTTCCTGTATGATTCTTATGTGAAGCCAGGTTGAGAACCACTACTCTAGAAGATTTTTTAATTTCTGATGTTCTGGAGATGTATCCTGCATTCTTGGGGTGACTTATCAGTAACCTCAAACCTTAACGAGCTCCAAGAGACAATGAAATCATTGTGCAGGCTCATTTTATTATACGTTTATTTTAGAACAATCCCCAGGTCCTTCCTGGTGCCCGCTCTCTGCAGACCTCCCATCCTATAGCTGGAGCTATCTTGAGTGAAGTCTCTGTAAACATCTTTATAGTTTAGGCCAGTCTGGGCACAGATTCCTGTTACTTAGAGCTAAAGTCATCCAAACTCATGCAATGTGTCAGGGGATTACAGAAACTGCTGAGGCCTTTGAGTGAGCTACTGGAGGGCTCATAAAGAATGGCTCACACAAATAGTCATTAAGAATGTAGATTTAGGAGGCGAGGCCAAGATACGTAGTAGTCAGATGCTTCCAGTGGTCCCTCTTAAAACAAAGACCTGAAAAAACAAGTGAATCGATTATATAAGACATTCTAGGAGCCCTGAACATCAAAGGCAAAGCTGAGGAATTGGACTGAGTGGCAGGGGGAGGGAGAGATGGTTCGGAAGCAGTGAGGAGTTGCTAGACCTGACCCAGCAGGAGCCAGAGCCCTTCAGGCCGGATCAGCTCATGATATGTGCTGAGCCAAGCAGCTACCTCTGGAGACGTTTTCCACATCAGGAGAGACCCAGTGGCAGAGAGCCTACTCAGCAATCCAGAATCAGTGAGAAGCAGCACGGAGAAAGATAAGTACTAACATCTGGCCTATCATGTGGATCAAAAACACCCTCCTCTGGGAAAAACCTCTCTCCCATTTACCTCCCTGCTCCTTACTCTACACTGGGTCTGGGATGGCTTCAGCAATTGCTGCGTACTGTGGGTTGCAAGTAGGAGCTGTCACGTGCCCTGAGCCATTCTCCTGGCCTTGGAGAGGGAACAAATTAACAAACAGGGGGAAAAATAATCTGCTGGCTCCCCTAAGCTAGGAACTCAGGGTAGGCACAGCTCCTTTGTCTAGGCACAGGCATAAGGGGTACACAGATTTTGAGTGCCTTTCCCCCTGAAGAGACTTGTGTGGACCCATTTCAACAGCATAGGCCCTCAATACCACAATACAACAAGGTATATACCTGAAGTCTAACTTCAACTGTTTCAGCTGTGAAGTGGCAGGTTTGTGACATTTGACACTGCTCTGCCCATTAAGCAGGGTCTTCACCTACCCACATCAGGGGCCTGAGGACTGATAACTCCACACACGCCACCTAGCCACGTGCGACAGGGGCCCAAGAATAAGTCGTGCCCCCTCGTCCTTACAGCCAACAACACTGGGTGTTCATAGTCTGGCTACAAAACCCACCCACCTACGTGCTCTAGGGAACAGGGACACGCTATCCTCCCGGACACATGGGGTGGCCGTTGGCCCCCTGCCTTACTCAGCGTGTGACCTTCTGCTGCAGCCAGATGCCTGAGCCTATACCAATCACCCATACCTGTCTAGGACTGTAGGTGAGAGTTTGCACCTCACACTTGGTGGCCAACTACCTGGACACCTGAGCTGAATCCATACAGAAGGAGTAAGCGGACTCCTGGGCTCAAATACTTAGTGGCAGTTCTGGCCACCTGGTGGCATGACTTTGGAGCTTCAGGGGCATGGGTGATCTGGCTAGCTCACACGAGCAGCCTATTCGGGCATATCAAAACTAAGAAGCTAGAACACAGTAAGCAAACATAAAATAGATAAATATAATAACTTACTGAAGGCTCGGAGACAAAAGTCAACATTAAATCACAAAAAGAGGCAGACCATGATGGCTTCAGCAAGCTCCCAAAATAAAGAATCAAGAAATTATCCAGAGGAAGATACTTTCTTGCAATTACTGGAGGCAGAATACAAAATATTAATATACAGAACACTTCAAAAGATCAGGAAGGAAATTTTGTAAAACGCAGACCAAGCAATAGAGGAACTTAAGAAGATTAGAGAAGAGCATAATGACAAATTTAACAGGCTGCAAGAATCCATAGAGAGACAGCAAACAGAAATCCAGAAGATTAACGATAAAATTTCAGAATTAGGCAACTCAGTAGAAAGTCATAGGAGCAGAATTGAGGCAATGAAAGTCAGAAATAGTGAGATTGAAGATAAAGCACTTGATACCCACTTATTTGAGGAAAAATCAGATGAAGGATTTAAAAAAATGAAGACTCCCTAAGAATTATGTGGGATTTTATCAAGAGGAATAATCTACTAGTGATTGGAGTACCAGAACACAGGAGAATAACAGAAAATACAGAGAGAATTGTCGAAGATTTGTTTCCAGAAAACTTCCCTGATATCGTGAAAGATGAGAAGATATCTATCCAAGATGCTCATCGAACCCCACATAAGGTAGATCCCAAAAGAAAGACATCAAGATATATCATAATCAAACTTGCCAAAACCAAAGATAAAGAGAGAATTTTAAGAGCAGCTAGGGATAAACAAAAAGTCATCTACAAAGGAGAGTCAATAACAATAAGCTTGGACTACTCAGTGGAAACCATGCAGGTGAGAAGGCAATGGGAAGACATATATAAAGCCTTGAAGGAAAAAAATTACCAGCAAGGAATGA